TTGTTTCCCTTAGTGGGCACACTGGAGAGAGAGAGAGAGAGAGAGAGAGAGAGAGAGAGAGAGTATGCGCGAGTTGCGCAGACCCTGGTGGTGAACGAGTGAACTTTTTTTTTTTTTTTTTTTAATTGCTCCAATCTATTCGTGGGGAGCATCACGTGCTGGGAACCGGGCCTAGCGTCCCTTATAATAGGAATACATTGATGATTGACAATTAATGAAAATTTGGGATGATTGAGGATTATTTAGGATGATTTAGGATGTCAGAGTGGGTGATTGAGGTCATGAAATAAAGCTAGATGATGACTAATCAGAAAGATTGTCTACTCAGCACTGAAATACTATCTTGTCCCTAATTTCATAAAAACTCGAATAAAATACACATAACCAAAGGAATTGTGTGAAATATGTAAATTGATCTAATTGAGGCATTTTTTTTTGTACTTTTTTTTTTTTTTTTTTTTCGTGATTGTTCGCCAATTTCTTTGACTACGATACTCAAAATTTTTGGATTCATTTTTAAGATTGAGAACATTCTCAATTGACTATGAAAAACTTTTCGGCTTTTTCGAAGACTCATAGGAATCCTGTATCCATTCCAACCAACCAATCACAATTGAGCCCGTGATGTGCACCAATTAGGCCTCTTCCCGGTCTCACACCCCAATCTGGCTCGGTTACAGGGCAGTGCTACCCACCCCAACTCCAACCATTGTTGGCCAGATTGTAGTCATTAGTGAAGTTTGCAGATTGCCTTCCTCCCTCAGCAATCCCAGACCTGTATACAAAGCCTCAAGCTCCTACACAAGCAGGTTACAGGGCACTGCCCCAGCGCCGACTAGCGTCGTTCTGGCGCCAACTCAACCTGGGCAAGGATGATTTAGGATGTTAGAGTGAGTGATTGAGGTCATGAAATAAAGCTAGATGATGACTAATCAGAAAGATTGTCTACTCAACACTGAAATACTATCTTGTCCCTAATTTCTTGTATCCATTCCAATCAACCAATCGCAATTGAGCCCGTGATGTGCACCAATCAGGCCTCTTCCTGGTCTCACACCCCAATCTGGCTCGGTTACAAGGCAGCGCTACCCACCCTAACTCCAACCATCGTTGACCAGATTGTAGCCATTAGTCAAGTTTGCAGATTGCCTTCCTCCCTCGGCAATCCCAGACCTCTATACAAAGTTTCAAGCTCCTACACAAGCAGGTTACAGGGCACTGCCCCAGCTCCGGCTAGCGTCATTCTGGCGCCAACTCAACCTGGCCATGTCTCTCTCACATGTGCAAAACGAGAATGAATCTTCGCAAGATCGTAGGTAGATTCATTCCCTTTTAACACTCTTTCAAACATTCATTCCCGTTTTGCACGTGTGTGTGTGTGTGTGTGTGTGTGTGTGTGTGTGTGTGTGTGTGTGTGTGTGTGTGTGTGTGTGTGTGTGNGTGTGTGTGTGTGTGTGTGTGTGTGTGTGTGTGTGTGTGTGTGTGTGTGTGTGTGTGTGTGTGTGTGTGTGTGAGAGAGAGAGAGAGAGAGAGAGAGAGAGAGAGAGAGAGAGAGAGAGAGAGAGAGACTCTATTGTCTTTTCTCTAATAGAGAAATACTTTTTTTCATAGGTTTCTGAAATTTATCCATAAAACTCTCTTTTCTTTTTTTATTATTTTAGTTTTTTTCTTTTATATGATTTTCTTTTATTTGATTTTTTTTTTTTAGTTTTTTTATTATAGGATACATATTGTTTATATAATATATGTTTATATAATATTGTTTATAGATTTTTATATGATAAAATTATATTATTTGATAGTGAGATAATATTTTTCTTATTGTTATTAATATTAGTATGAAATTGATATAATATAATTTATGATATAAGATAATTGTATATAGAAAAATGTATCTAAGATGACAAAACCAAAAAAGAAAGATCTATCAAGTATTCATATTGTAATAAATATATAAAATATAAAATATGAATATATCAAATATGAATATGTCAATTATATATATATATATATACTCTCTCTCTCTCTCTCTCTCTCTCTCTCTCTCTCTCTCTCTCTCTCTCTCTCTCTCTCTCTCTCTCTGTGCGCCCCTCGCGCGCCCTTACAAATGTTGCGCAATGAGAATGAATCTCCCTCCAAAACACGGGAATATTTTGTCTCTCTCTCTCTCCCCCTCCCTCCACGCCATGAGAAAAGAGAGGTTTTTGATGATGTTCTTATGTGTTGTTGTTGTTGTTGTTTTTCATTTATTTATTTTTATTTTGTGGTTTTATTTTTTTCTCTTTTTTTTTTTCGTGTTTCCGTAAACTAAGTCCGGGCAGTGTCCTGCTGGTACCAGCGTTGGCACGACTCGGCGTACCAGTAGGCGGAGACTCGGACTCGATAGTTGAGCCAGGTACTGATGGTTTAGACCACCAGTGCCTTTTTTTTTTTTTTTTTTTCCAAAGTCGTTCATATTATTACCAAGATCAATGGGGGCGAGGCTGGGGACCTCACAAATCTACCCGGAGTTATCCTGGCAGCAACAACCAGTTCAGCTTATGAGTGGAGCTCAATATAAAACTAGTCCCGCATACTTTCTCCACCTTATGGAAACCGGGTCCAGCGTCCCCAACTAGAAAACACACTTTCCAACTCGAACCTTTAAGCACAAAAAAAATATAGGAAGCTGACAAAAAAAACAACAACTTTTAAAGCTCATACAGCAGGTTGAGAGCCATTAGTGGCCCAGACGGACCTAAGATCGGTCCTACTTAATCACGTGTCAATCTGACAACCATGGACAGATGGCCAAACGACCACCCTGGTCTATAGAAGCTAGTCTGTTGCCTCTTGCCCAAGTTTCTGGAACCACACGAAATTATTCTGATGCCAGTCTGCAGATATTATTCTTCTTATTGGTTGTTTGATCCGGCGCTGTTGTTGGATGCAGGCTGTATCCTCGCTCCTGAACACCATTGCGTTCCGGGCTGCCCAAATGGTCTCCATTATAACCCCTCTACAACAGAGGGCCACATATCCCCACTCCGAGTCATAGCACACCCCAGTAGCAAGGATGCCCGTAAGCATCCAGTTGTCTGACCACCAAAACTTTTCCCACGCTCTTGTCCCAGTGTTTGCTTCCACCATACCATCACCTCATCCACCAAGGGACAGCAAAGCCTGAGGTGGATCATGTTCTCCCATCCCCAATTACACCGTAGACATTGCATTGAGATATCCATTCCCTTGTCTGACAACCACATAGCAGTAGCCGTGACCATCAATGATTGAAGCCACATTATGCCTGCGTGCTTCTGAACAGGGATCCCAGTGAGAGCCTTCCACCTGCTGAGTTTCCGCTCGAGCTACTGCGAAGGTTGCCCCTTTTTTCTTCAAGCAGTTCTGCAACAACTAGACGCCTACCTTCGGGCAATAATGGCAAAGCGGAGTTATGTCCTCCCTCCCTTCCTGGAGCTTCCAGCCCAACAATAGAGGTTCGACCCTGAACTGGTCGGCGTCCCGAAGCAGTGTGGCACTAAGGTTTTCCTTTTTGGTCGTCAGTCAAAGAACGCATGTTTCAATCATGGCCCTTGTATCTCTAATCCTGTAATGCTTGTCTTTAAGGATGAGCTTTCCTGAGGCAGCCATACTCGGAAGTTTCCACCGCTGAACCCGGACTCCTGAAGAGAGTTGTGGACCCAGAACCTGCACTACTCGGCCAGAGGAGTTGCAATCCCGAAGCCAAGTGCCTGCCGCATGCTCTACTACTGTTTGCAGCAAGTTAACCCACCTCCTAGGAATAGCCTCGATAAGCTCAGAGTAATGTTCGTTCACCTTGTGGAGGCGCAGAAGAATGCGTCTGATCTGAGCTGGTTGGTTCCATACCACCAGTACCTTTCCCATATGTCATCCGTGGGCAGTTTTGGAGGGCTGAAACGGAAAAAGGGCGGCCGACTTGAATTATAGACGGTGGCCCTTCCCTGCTTGGTCCCCGGAAAAATAGCTGGGAAAGGTACTGGTGGTACTGGTGGTTCTTTTCTCTTTGTGCTTGCCTGTAGTTCCTCTCGTTTGTGTTTTCTCGCCTGGCCAGTGACCGAAAGGCCACCCCGGTTTTTTTTTGGTTTGTTCAGCTCGTTCGTGTTTTTTCTGGTTTGTTCAGCTCTTCCAAGTGTTGTTGGGGTAAGGCCCACGAGCTCTAAGCTCGGTAATGGTCCCAGTCCCAGTACCTGTGTTCATTCCCGGTTGTTTGTGAGGAATTCCCGGCCTCATGTTCTCATGAAACCCATCCGAATGTCGCCATTATCTTGTTTCGATGCGGCTTTCGGTTTGTCTTGTCTGGGCTCGATAATTGAGCTTTCGGTTTCTTGGGGTTCACGGGGCCTTGGGCGTCGCTGCACTACTCTCCAAATGCACAAAATGAGAACGAATCTTCTGTTAGAACATGGGAAGATACACCGCCATATTTTTTGTCTTTTGTACATGTGGAGCGTAGTGCAGCGAGGCCCCTTGACGGACCTCTCACCCAATGTGAAAAGAACGAAAGCACGCCGGGCTTGTGAATGAACACACCCGGTATTTCAAAAAAAATCGGTGACCGCGGTTATGGTTGTGTTCCGTGCCTTCCGGCTGTTTGTTGCCTGGCTGCCGATTCTCCGTGACAAGTCCCGGAAATCTCTTTTTCTTTCATAATAAACTCTTTTGCTTGCCTTTATGGTTATCTGTTTGTTTCTTCGATAGGGGTGGTTGGATTTTGAGCTGAACTCGATTCGAACCCTTGACGTCTATAGATCAACAGTCCAGAGGTAAGCAAACATTCAGCCACATGTGCTGAGTGGGCGGGGAAGCTGGGTGGGTGGCCCGTCGGAGTACCGTACCTTTCCCGTGGCAAGTACCTTACCTTTCATGTGGCGAACGGCCGAAGCGAGATCTGACGGGTCGTTAAAATAAAAATTAACTGAAGACAGGATCCGTGCGATGCGGAATCTGGAACGTAGCCGGGCGACCGTCCGATCGGGCATGTGAAGTGAATCTTTTGGCGGGGTGGGAAATGCCCGAAAGCAAAAGACCGGAACGCGCCGGAAGTAGCCGTCGTGTGCAAGCTATCGTCTCGGCTGCGCTTATCGAAAGCTTGCTTGTCGTTCAACTACTCGGCGCGCTCCGCCTGGCTGTTACTCTACTGATCGTGGACGCGGATTCGAAGACGCGGCAAGGAGGGAGCGGCTAGCAGACTGCCAAAGTGGTAGCTATCGTCGTCACAGCCGCCATAGCCGTAGGTAAATTTTCGTACCCCATCTCCCAAACTCATCTGCTTCGCTCTGCTGTCTTGGAGACAGTGCTTTTCCCCTCTCCCTGGTTGTCCATACCATCACTAGAACTCTCCGGCACCGAGGGATCCCTCTCCCTGGTAGTCCATACCATCACTAGAACTCTCGGCCACCGAGCGGATGAATAAGGACACTGGTAGTCCATACCATCACTAGAACTCTCCGGCACCGAGGGATCCCTCTCACTGGTAGTCCATACCATCACTAGAACTCTCGGCCACCGAGCGGATGAATAAGGACAATCAGTCGGAAATGTTCCAGTGCGAGTGTGCCTTGATTCCCCTCTCTTCTCCGAGGTGCATTGCTGCTTGTTCCCTGCATTCGATCGATGCTTCTCGTCGGCGTCGGCCTTTCTTGGCAATGATCAGGCGCGATGAGAAAGATTGTTTGACGTGTGTGGAATGTGTGTTTTCTTCCCCCTGTTGTTTACCCTGTTGTTTAGAGTCTCTGGACTTGGTGATGCTGATGGTGGGTCGTCTACTGTATAAGATATGTCCCAACTAATTACAGTAATGCACTCATGTACCATGATGCAGTAAGTTAAACCGCAATTGCCTGGAACTTGGGCGAGATTCTGTTTTGCTACTGGTGGAGTGACCAAGTGAAGTAGCAAAGCTCGCGTGTAAGAAAGTGAAGAGTCGTTGTATGTGGTCGTTTCTCACACGAACGATAGAGTGTAAGAAAGTGAAGAATTGTCGTATATGGTTGTTTCTCAGACTAACGACAGAGCGATGTGAAGACCATTTCTGACTAACGACAGAGAGATGTCAAAACCGTCTCTGCTTCCGGACTGTGGCTCTGTAGATGAGCAGCGAGCGGAACTTATCCGATTGAGGTCGCTGGAACTAGTTCGATTTGGGTCGCCTTTATTCTTAACCTATGAACGACTGGCTTTTTCTGAGATATGCGACGTAACATCCCATCTCACCCCGTGTCGTCCGCCGCGTCTCTGTAGACGAGAGCGGAACTAATTCGATTGACGTCGCCTTTATTCTAATCTATGAACGTCTGGTTGTTTCTGAGTATATGTGACAAAGTATCCGGTCTCACCACGTGTTGTGCGCCCGTTCTCTGTTTCGGAAGCAATCCTGCAACGAACACGTAAGCACTAATGCGCGCACTCCCGCCTGTTGTGTACTTGGCATTCCTTGCTCACTGACTCTCCTGATCCCTCGCTCATGGAGTCCATTCTCCCGTTCCATTTTCTTTCGATCTCACATGGGGATGGAAGATGCAGAGATTACGTTTCCCCCCCCCCCTTCGAATGTGCTCATGATGGCAATCCTGTGTTGAAAGTATGATGATGAAGGCTTTGACGGCTGTTTCTCAGTCCGACTGAGAGAAAGGTGCGGCGCAGGCGACAAGAGAGGGCGAGAGGGTGACGGAGCAAGAAGAGGCGCAGTTGGCGTTCGTCGGCTAAAGATGTTGGATGCGAGGTCGAGTGTGTGGCGGCGAGGGAATGCGCTAATCTGTAGAAAAAGGAGGGTGGGCGTGGGGATTGCAAAGCTTGGGGTGGTAAATGGATCGGGATGCCGTAATATGGAGTGTGATGCGAGTGTTGTTTTTTGGGGGGGAAGGGGGGGGAGGAGGGGAGGGAAGAGAGGAAAAGTCTGTCGACTAGAAACTCCAGATATGAGCGAAAAAGGAGGAAGCTCCGAAGAAATACGAACGAGGAAGAGGAAAGATAATGGGGTTTTCCTCCAATTTGCTCGACGTGACCGGCTGGTGGGGTTTTCCTCTACTTTGCTTGACTTGTGCGGGTCGAAGTGAGTATGGAAGTAATCGGAGCAAGAAGGACAAAGAGACTGTGCGGAGGTTCGCGATGGTCGTAGGTGTATTGTGATGGTAAACTATGATGGTAAGGAGACGAGTGAGCGCAGGTGAAATTCTGCGAGCATGAGCCATGAACGAAGGTTTTGGTTCGGGGTTTTGAAGGAGACACCGTTTTTTGCGTTGTCGTAATCAGGATGGGGGCAAGAAGTGCTGCGCTGCGTAAGTTTTGTGCGATCAGCAGTGATTTTGCCGAACGCGATTTTTTGAGGTAAGATGTCTTCTATTGGGCATGTCAATGAGAAGGTTCCCCGTCTCGAGTATGTCAAACATGTTTCAACGGTGTGGAGCGTCTTCTTATCACATCAGCGAATGTGTCGCCGCCGAGGAAGGTCGATAACGAGTTCCCCAACGGTTTGATTGCCTCGACTCCCAGTTGAGTTGGCACCTTAGGTTGATTGTCGATGAACACTTGTGGATTTCGTCTGTTTGGATATGATGTTGAGCGGTCCAGCTGTACAACTCAGTCCGTTCCGTTAATCGATGGTCTGTCACGCGTAATACGATGGAGGCATGACGACGTTCTCCTGCGGAGTAGGGTAGTTTGTGGATGTTTGCCCGGTGGAGCAGGCGGGTGCCTTGCTCTTCCGAGCAGATGGGTGTTTGGTCTTTCGAGCTTGTGTGCTTCGACCAGTTTCAACACGGTTTACCTTAATGAATGTTTATGTTCTGAATATCCGTGTATGTTATTTTTTTCGCTCGGACTTGTTCATACGTCCTCAGAAAACAGTTCCAAAGGCGATTCGCTTTATTTTTGGGAGAATGGTATGTGACTAGGAGGCTGGTATGACACCGCTTTTGGGAGAGTATTATGTGACTAGGAGGCGGGTATGACACCTCTTTTGGGATAGTATTTGTGACCAGAATCGGGTATGACACCTGGCAGCCCGACGCACCTAGACTCGGTGTTAGTCGCTGATTGAATAGGCTATAGGGTAATTATTTTTTGTCGCTGTGCGCGCGGAACGAAAGACCCCGGTGTCCACGACTGAATAACCGACGCGGGAGGAGAGGAGGAGCATCTATCCGGAGATGACGAACCTAGGCCCTCGCCTGTTCCTAGGCGCGATGAGGCGGCAACGCACTTGGTCGTTGTTGGCAGCGGCTCTCGGTGGCGGTCGCATTGGTCCTCGATTTACGATGAATGAGGCGTCTTTATTCATTTAGCTGGAGATCGATCCTTTGTGTTCTCGTGTCTCTCTTCTTGGGTGGACAGCTCTGTCCAGACTCGTGTGTTTGCGCGGGTTGTCGTGACATTATTACTGTATGTATCGTTCAAATTTCCATACGTCCGCGGCTTTTTAGTGTGTACTAACTGAGCATGCATGGTCGTACAGTAAGTAATCGTTACTGTCGGTATCTTCGGAACGATTCATAACACAGTCAATCGTTGAAGATGGAGGTGTCAAGGGAGGTGTCAGGAGTTGGATGGGTTACGTAGGATGTGTTGGCAGATATGAAGATGTTATATCCATCAGAGGAGCTGAGCGGCGGCGGGTATGCAGGATGTGTTTGATGATATGACGACGATTATCGGGACGTGAGGGGCGGGGCGGGTTTTCGCATCGATCCGCGTGTGGTGTTGATTGCCGGTGGGGACTCCTGTCGTGTTTCTTCCTGAGGATGATTACCTTATCCTTCAGGGTCAGTGGGGATTCGCTTGAAGCTGAAGGTCTTGGAGTCGAGGGGTTTTGATGCTGAGACTCTGCTGGTGCCGCGTCTGTGGCTCTTGGGCAGTTGGACGCGTGTACCAATCGCAGGCACTCTGAACGGTAACGAATGCGCTCAAAGTTTTACTTAGTTTTTCGAGCAAAATGCGTAGTTCAGGCATGCGGAGGACCTCAGCGAGGATAAGCGTGGATAGCGAGGACCGAAGCGTGTATAGGGAGGAGGGATCTAAGCGTGTATAGCGAGGACCTAAGCGTGTATAGCGAGGACCTAAACGTGTATAGTGAGGACCTGTGCGTGTATAGTGAGGACCTGTGCGTGTATAACGAGGACTTGTGCGTGTATAGTGAGGACCTGTGCGTTTATAGTGAGGACCTGTTCGTTTATAGTGAGGACTGTGCGTGTATAGCGAGGACGTAAGCGTGTATAGCAAGGACCTAAGCGTGTATAGCGAGGGCCTAAGCGTGTATAGTGAGCGAGTAGTGCGAGTACCTGAGGGAGTTAAACGATGCTCAAGCAAGTGTAGTGAAGAATACGTGTCACTGCCTGGACTATTTTCGCAGGGATTTCTATGTATCCTGTTATCAGCAGCGTGGAATTGTCTATCACAGGATTGGTTATCAGTGTCTGGAGGTCCCTGTGTTCTTCAAACTCCGCCTTGTGCGCGTGGGTCAAAGACTTGTGAACTGGCAGAGAAAAGCTAGGAAAGCTCTCCTCAGGTTTGGGAGGCGGGTCGATGTAGTAGTCTGTCGTCTGTCGTCTCATCCTCCCGTCTATCCGCCCGCATCTGTGTTTGTTTCTTGTTTTTTTGGATCTCGCCGCCTTCTATTTCGATAATTTCCCAGGGAAAAAATAATTCAGGGTATGGCACAGCTAGTGTTTGGTCGTGTGAGACCAGATGGGTTCGTGGGTGCGGCGAGCAGGCAATTTCCCGGGCGATCTCGTGTGAAGAATCAAGTCTGGAGTTTACGGTAGCTCTCTATTTGAGGACGTCATGTCCTGCCGCCAGGAGTTGTCGTCAGGGCAAATTTTCCCGCCATCTCTGTCGGTGCCTCTTGAAGGCAATCTGTTGTCCTGGGTAATCACGTTCAAGATTGTCGTGTCAGGGACGACTAATTGGCGCTTTGCCTTGCAAAAGCTCCTCTTCTTTTTTCTTTTAACTGCATGTGTTCTATGGTTTGTGGTTCTTCGGAAATTATAGCCCGGGAGGAGGGTTTTTGCCCGGGAGGAGGGTCTTTGCCCGGGAGGAGGGTGTTTGAACTGGTAAGCCAAGCTCGACACGGCAGTTTCGAGGAGGGTCTTTGCACTGGTAAGCCAGGCTTGGATACGGCAGTCACATGCTGCATCAAATGGAGCCGTTGAACCAATGGGCGGTTATCGCTAGGGTTTGTTAAATTGAGAGGACGTATAGAAAACTTCGTCGCACGACTCACCAAATGGGTAAAGGACGAAGGTTCTGGCGGGGCGTCTTTCCTCATCCCAACGGAGATACTATCCACTCTCCACTCTCTACATGTGGTGACTTGTACGGCGAGGCCCACAGGGTGAAGGTTTCTTCGCGTAAATGTGATGGGCCAGCTCTTGTGAATTTGGTTGAAAAAAATGGAAGTGTTCGGCACTAAATCTGTTGAAGTGACAAGGTGGTAGACGGTAGTCGCGCCTGTAACTCGATTACGCGTGGCAGATGAACGGAATGCCCACGGTGGCACGGACGGGAGGGAATAGCCTTGTGGTTTGTTCCGTGACAGAGGCTGTCACCGAATGCCCACGATGGCAAGGACGGGATGGACTAGCCTTGTTGGTTGTTCTATGACAGAGGCTGTCTCCGGGTAAGCATTCCGAACTGATGGCATACTGCATTTTCTTCGACTTGCACGCTTAGTTGTTATCGTCGAGTTTGCCCTAGGCATCCCTGTGCAGGAAGGGCGTGTCAATCCTAGGGCTTGTCAACGAAGTCGCTGTGAGGCAACATGTTGTTAATCTGATGGCGTTTACAGTATGTATTTCTAGTGTGACACACTGTCGGGTATATGCCATCTGATAGGAACACTGCTGCTTTTCAATTTCTCGACTGTACGTGGCATCCCTGTGCAGGAAGGGCGTGTCAATCTTCTGTGTATCTTTTAACTCGAATGGGTGTCCGGAAAAAGGACCCGGGTAGGGTCTTGCTCTCGTGGGCGTGATATTTTCTTGTTCTAATGTCCCTCTCGGCGAGAACAGAGGGACACCATATTGGGCCCAGTTCTTGGAAGGCTTGGGTCGGGTTCGACTGCGCGTGCTCTACCTTATGTAGCGTTGTTATTCGCTTTTACCCATCTCCACTCAGACGTTAGGTAAGCTTTTGCTTAGTGAATCGTACACATGACGTGACCTTTTGATCACTAGGTATTTTCGCTGCGGGCCGAGGGAAGAACTCGATCTGCGCGCCGTTCTAGTACCTTCTTTCTTCTTCTTGGACTATTCCATTTATCCCCTCAAGTACCTTCTAGTACCTTCTAGTACCCTCTTTCTTCTTCTTGGACTAGTCCAGTTATCCCCTCTGGTGGTACTCTCGGGTATCGCTGTAGTTTCTCAGTGTTTGTTTACTTTTCCGTACCGAGTTTTCACTATTCTCTCACTACGCCATCCGACCGTTTAAATGATTTTGTATAACCCGAGGTATCGTTCTCTTCCCGAGGAGCAGGGAAATACTTTCTGTGGTTCTTTCCGCCTGTTTGTTTTTCAGGCTATCGTAGCTGTTGCTGTTTGGTGGTCGACGTATCTATCAGTAGGTGGAGTTGGCCCGTGTTGAATTGGTAGGTACGCCAATCGGTACGTGGTGGTGGGCACAGGTCGGTTTCGGCGGTCGAGGCGAATAGGTTGTCATGTTTGGTTGTTGGATTTCGGTGTTGATGATGCGTATGCTCTTCAGTATAAAACGTCAGCGTGGATGGTGTGAATCTGCATGTAGACAGTCTTAGTGGCAAACGGTGCGCTCCTGCTTACAGACTCTGGAGATAAGAATCGTCCTCTCACGTGTTATCGAGCATCTGCTAAAGCTGCTACTTTCTTCCCCCGATTCTATATCTGTATCTAGGCAATTTGCACCCCAGATACAGCGATGAGGGGAAAAAACGGACGAAAGTGGTGTAGTGGCCGGCATGATGACACCTCGCGTTTTTACGTGTAGGTATATACCTGTGGTCAGGACAGTTTTCAGTGTACATACACGGGTTGATAGGGAGCCACGTTCCGGAGGCGCTGGGGGGGTGTGGTCCTAACGTAGTTCATTGGGCAAGAAGTGGGCGAAAAGGATTGATTGATTTCCAGCTGTATTGGAATTTTCAAGATTGCGCTTGCCAGAATGCACTTGGACGGAAAAGAATGCTGGGGGAGTAATCTGTTGCCGTTCGTTCAGACTTCATTTACTTTCCGACTGTGGCAATGTGGTTGTGTAAGGTTGAACATCCCATAACCCCTTTATTCGCCAACAGTGGCAGTATTGGCGATCTTGGCAATAACCCCTTTATTCGCCAGCAGTGGCAGTATTGGAAATTGGGCATGACAAGGAGATATTTCCGTCCTCCTTCGGGGTTTCCGGTCCTGCGACCGATTTAATGGCGGATGGGTTAAGCTGCGTAGGCCAGCTAGTATAGAGGACTACTTGGTTGTCTATGTACGATGTGTGCAGCAATAGGGGTACAACTGAATTTGGCACGTCGGCACCGCAAAATAGCGATTGAAAGGTAGTTTGTTCCCCTTGGGCTTGTAGGAGAAAATGCCTGCGGTTTGACGTCTTAGAGTATTTTATTAGGTTTGTTGTTGGCCAGCGATGTTGTCTGTTGTCGTTTTTCTCCAGAATGGATGTATGCGGGTTCCACCGACAGTTGGAAGGGAAGAGGATGGCAGAGGAATCGCATCGCAGTTTTTTAAAGAGCCAATCAGGCCCTAGAGTTGAACATGTTAAAACGCCGTGCCTGACGTTGACGTTTAAAGTATTTTAGGTTTGTTGTTGGCCAGCGGTGTTGTCTTTCTTCTCCAGAATGTGTTTGGGTTCCGTTGACATTTGGAAGAGAAGAGGATGGGAGAGGAATCGCCGTCTTATAGTATCGAAGTGTTCTGAGAGGAAAAGAGCCATATTCTGAGAGGAAAAGAGCCATATTCTGAGAGGAAAAAAGCCATATTCTGAGAGGAAAAGAGCCATATTCTCAGAGGAAAAGAGCCATATTCTCAGAGGAAAAAAGCCATATTCTGAGAGGTACATGTTAAAACGCCGTTGCGAAAATGTGCCTGGATGTGTAGAGTGGACCAGGTGGATGATTGTGATGAGATGTGCTGAAGATAAAAGGGTTAGACTGATATGGGAATGAATGAGACATTCTTTTCCTATCATAGATGGAAACACTTCCCTGGATGGCTGAGCGTACATCATTGGCACAAGTGACCCAGGGGTGAGGACCCGCTGGCAATGGGATATGATTGAGTGCGTGGTTTTTGTGGCAGTAGAACGGCAAAAATGTGCTGCGATTACGTGCGATTTCACGGTCGGTGTTTTTTTCACGTATGAGCTGAAAAGCGAATAACTGAGCTTGGATGCCGCGCTGCAGTCACGCGGTTTCTGTTGGTGTCCGCTTGGCGTTGGTTTTCCTTACTACCAAGCTTTCCGGTTATTGCTCTCTGGGTGCGTCGGGTAGTTGGTGATGGGGCCGCATTGATGTGAACGAAGTCGCTGTGAGGCAACATGTTGGTTCGGCGGAGGCGCGGATAGCATGAAGTTGCCACCCGTTTGACCTCGTCTGTCGTCATCCGTTCCCTTCGTTGTGGATACCGTTTTCCTCCTGTATGGAGGCCGATTTCCGCCGTTATGCATGCCTTGTAACGGCTTGCCAGAGTGGTCGGTTTGTTTGACTGGGCATGAATGCTGTCTGAGGTAAGGAAGCTCCGATAATGCTGAGGTCGGAATTGTGGCAGCCACCTCTGAAAGCTTGGTTCTGAGTATTGGAAGCAAGTGCAAGAGGAGAAAAGGAGAGAGAGAGAGAGAGAGAGATCTGGATTGCTGACGAGAGGAGTCTTGTCTCTCAGAGAGGCACTTGCAGGGTATGGTATGGGCGAAGCTAGAATTGTAGATTGTCGTCTTCCATGAGGTTGTGATGAGGCGGTTGCAGCTTTGGATTGGCAGTGTACAATTCTGTGCATGTGGACAAGCGTGAATGGGCGAGGAGATCTGAAGTGGCGGTTCAAGCTGAATACGCTTCTTCCTGGTGATGCAATCAGGAGTGCACATGGTTAGTGGTGGGTGATGGTGCGGAATCGTGGTGGTGGGCCGCTAACTGTGGGCGTGGGTGTTTAAGGGGCTTGAGGTGTGAGCACTGCCGATTTTTTCCTCTCTCCTAGATGGTGTTGGCATTCTAAATGATTGTCGGAGTGCTGCCAAGGTTTCATTTGCCGATCCATCTTCTGCTGGGCGTCCATTCCCTCTTCTCCTCGGCGTCTATTGTGGTGGATATGCTATGGCAGTCCCAGTCGAGTGCTAACTTGTGCAGTCCATTCACCGATTTTGTCTTTTGCCAGGCTTGGTCCTATAGCTCGACCCTGTCTTCTTAGCGTGTACAGGTTTTCTGAACATGCTGAACAGATTCTCAGCTTGGTGAGTCGCCTGTGGATTAGTGAAAACTCCTGCAGGCCTCGGGACTTGTGGAGTTGTCGGCGAAATAGTGTGAGGTGGTTTATCGTATAGGTTGTTAACCGTATAAGCCTGATGAAGGAAGTCCGTTGAGACTTGGGATTGCGGAGTTGATTGCCAGTTGATTTTCCGTTGAGGTTTTTGTCTATGTGATTCATTGTTTTTCCTCCGTATGTCCCCATTGCACGTCTACTCCCCGGTTCTAGCATTGCACTCACTGCGTACATCTGGCATATTTTGATTATTCCTTGCCGTTTTTGCGATGTTCGGCGTCATTCTGTGATGTGTGTTCTCTTTGCTGATCTATGTGCCCGTTAAGGGTGGTTGTGGGTCGACTTTCCCATCTGTTTTTCCCGTATACAGAAGTCGGTCGATGTTGATGCACTCGTGCACGTCCGTTTTAACTCGAAGAAGTTTGTGCGGAGTCCTTTCTTTGCGTACATTTTGCTTGAGCAAGAGGACCTATTGCCAGCGGACTGAAATTGTCAAAAGAAAGACGAAAAGTAGGTCTGTATCTATGTCTATATGTATATCTTTTGTCTTAACTGCGTTTTAGGCTATTGTTCCTTATTTTCCGGAGTATTATTATAAAATCTGTAACGGTTTGATGATGGTCACGTCTCTTGTAGAGCCTGGTCACGTCGCTTGTAGAGCCTTGTAAAATCTGCAACGGTTTGCTCGTTGTTGGTGCGCACCGCCCATGTGAGACCCTTGTTGTCATTCTTTGGCTGGCAACAAAAATGAAGATGCAGACCTCGTTGAATTCGGGTAGAGTACTGAGTAGAGTCGTGGAGAGTCGAGTAGAGTTGTGGATATGGCCGAGTGCGATTTTACTGAAATTTATACATGTGTGCAGAAGGTGCGTATAGTTTCATGCGGATCATCATGCTGACACTGATGATATCAGTTATGCAGCTGTTGTTTTTGCCCTCAAGGAAAAGGTCTGCATCTCCCTCCCTGAATCTCTCCCCCCCC